ATACCCTACTTGTAACACATTGTCTGCATTAAACTGCCGTGCCTTACAATGCTGCACTCTTTTGTTTCCTGAACTGGCAAAATAGACTCTCCGACTGCTATCCAGCTAATTTTATTAGAATATTTTTTCCACGTTTAGTGAGCCTTGTGTGTCTGAACTGGCCTGTAACCAGGGTTATACGGGTGCCAAGTTGGCCTCAGTGTCAAGTTGAAATAAGGACACCACTCCTAGCTTTTTGAATAGGCTCTGCAGATCAAATGTCAGCAGAGTTTTTTGGTTAGAATTTCGAAGCCCAATAAACTTCAATTCAAACTCATTAGTACGCTAACACTATATAACAGTTAAAAATCATTTAACACTTTTTTGGGGTTGGTTTCATGTTCCAATACAATGCACTGTTTGAACAATACCATCACGTTATCTCATATTAATAACGTAACATATCTGGTCCACTGCCAGCTGAAATCAGGCCATAGCTCATACACAGACTAAACCTCTTGTAAAACTCCATCTGCAAATTGCCGATCATTTCTGAAGAAAAAAACATATATTGGAGCATTGATGTTTGGAATCTGGCTAACAAATCATTTTTAAATTCAAATTATGTTAAAGTGAAATACTGATCACATATAAGCAGGTCAATTCCTTCCTTACCAAAGGGACTTCCAGTTATAATGTAAAACAAATACAGATTATTATGGGTCTTCATTTCTTAATTTTGTCATTCCAAGCACAAGCCTGAAAAATCATGGAATCCTTTTGGAAAGGATAACATACAACCAGCTGTACAGAAAATCATAGTAAATGCAGCCTTGTTTTGATGTAGCTAGTTTAATCACCCGCTAATCTAGAGGCTAAAACACATCCCCATTCATAAAGCTCTCCAGCAGAATCTCAGGACAGTATAAGTAATTAGCGACATGCTACTCAAACACTGTACTCACTTTATCCAATAGCAGCAGATCTGATACTACATTTCTACTTCATCAGGACAAGGTCTGAGTATTGCTGATAGGTTCTCAGATAGGATTATTAGAAAATTCATAAGAAAATTACCTTAACTTAGCATACTGAGTACAGTAACCAAGCTAAAAGTGCCAAAGATAATTGTCACATTTTGATTGTTGTTTCCTGACGCAGCTGTAATATAGTTTATTTCTTCATGCACTAAAACAAAGGCCAAAGTTTTGTTTTAAACCCAATTTCAAAGCCAACACAGCACCTTTACCACCCCGTAGCCTGATTTTATCAGATCTCATAAGCTAAGCAAGGCTGGGCCTGGCCAGTACTGGGAAAGGAGAGCTCAGAGGAAAGCCCTACAATTGCAGCCGTAAGGAGTGAAGACCGACCAGTAGGGGGCGGACTTCTCTCCAGATCATAATTTACAATACAAAGCACCAATACAAAGACTGGGGACACTGTGCAATAGGAGGCACTCTCATTTAGATGAGATGCTAACCAGAGGTCCTGATTACTTGGTCATTAAAAATCCCAGGGCACTGTTCATAACTTTCAGGGTGTTAACCCCAGTGTGCTGGGCTCCCTACAATTCCTCCTTGATTTCTCACTTCTGTACCCGATTGGCTGTGTGGTGGGGCAGCTGCAGTATAATGAAGTATAATACCAGGAACGAGCTGTACTTCAGTGGGGAAGAGGGTTGTACCCTACGTGATTTCTCTTTATACTTTGGGAATGGAAAGCACTGCTTGCTAAATGCAGAGAATTGATTATTCTCACATGAATTTGCACTTATAGCTCCAACCTGCTTTCTTCACATCCACACAATGGAAACCAAGACTGTTAACAGAAGTGACTGACATTTGATTCCCTGGTACAGTATGTGCACCAGACAAACCTGACACATCTAAGGAAAAAAAAAAATCAACGCTCTCTTGTTTCCTAAAGCGCCAGGTTATCAAGAAACTTAAAAAGAAGTCCTCCTTTTTTAAAAGACCACTGTTGAACAGAGACAAAAGGCCACAATAAAATTCCTCCCATCAAGTTTCAGCCCCTGGGCTACAAACAGCCAGCAACCTTTCATTTTCTCCATTCACAAGCACATTCCAAAACTCCCTGAAAGACCTGATCACTTTGGGTCTCCCTCAGCATAATGTGCTCACCTTGTAAAATTAACTCTTTCATGTTTTAGCTTCTGAAGCTTAAAACGCAGGCAGTTGCACAGTCTGAGGCAGGAAACAAAAAAAATGCTTTTAACCAATTCTAACACGTAACAGTACGGTATGATGGCTTCTTATCGGTGGATTTAGGGTTAACTTAGCAAAACAAAACCTCACGGTAACTGGACAGATCACACAATTTAAAAAAAAAAAAACATTTTAAAGAGTACAGCAACTTGTGAACTACTTGGGACTAAAAGCAAGATGTACATGTGACCCAAATATGCCAAACTTCACTATACAGCTGCACAGTAGGTTCCCTATTCCTTTTTTTTTTATAGCACAGATACACAGCAAGTTCATTTCAACACTCCCTCCCCTTGTTCCATCAATTCGCTGCTTCTAACTTCCCACAGTCTTGATGACCGGAGCATGTAGGTGATGGCCCAATTACCACCCAGCTCTCCGTTTGAATTATCTGCTCAGGTCTGTGGTTCTTAATTTGCTCTGACATGACAAAGGCCCTGCCTTGCTTTCCAACTGGTTCAGAGCATCTCAGCCACGACATAGAGGGGGTGGGAGACGGCACAATCAAAAAAATAAAAACACTATAGGGAAAATGTGTAAAAAAAAGTACAGAAAACCCCGGGTGCAATGACCTCAAAATGAACCATCTATGAAGGGTATGATAACATTCAATCACAGTCATTTTAAACAACAGCACCTTCAGGGTTTTTGTAAAGAATAGGGTTTAAGAATTTTGGTATACTAGAGTTGAGTGCGTAATATAACAAAAATCCTCCTTCTTTCTTAATGGCTGGTTTTAAAATATATTTAGAGGAGGCTACAAATGACTATAATTCTATTTAGCCTGCGCAAACCTATACTACCATGTCTAGAAGAGAAATCACTGACCCAAAGTTAGTTTAACTTTGTGACTCAGGATTCAACTACTTCAAACAGCACATCCTTGTCAGAACGGGTAAATGAATGTTTACTTGTCTGTCTGGACGCGGACCCCACATTCTACATGAGGGAAATCTTTTGTTCACACCACTCCTTGTCATAACTGTACTTTTCATACCATGTCTAATTCTACAGTAAAAACATCTGAAGAAACTCTAAACCTGCAGTTTCTCTCAACGACAGGCCACTCCACCTAGCTCAAGAGCTGGTAAACATCTGCTGCTACTACACATGCGAAATATACAGACTGCCCGTTTTACTGAAAGTGGAGAAAAACCAACAAGAGCAAAAACAGTGGTAGTTGGATAAAAACACAGGGTATTTTTTTTTTTACTATGCCTGAAGCCCATACAAATATTAAGACTTCTTTTAGGGGATAATTTTCCCTGTTTATTGATTACAACAAAAACGCTCATGCCTGTCAGAAAGAATCTAAACCACCTGGAAGATGTGCAATTTACCAGTGCCTAGAATATATAAACAGGACTCCTTGAAATTTCCACAGCCTTTAGCAATTTCTGCTAAAAAAGAAACTCTTTTATAAGCTGTTGGTGTGGACACTAAAAAACAAATACGCTTAAGAAATTTAGTTCCCTTCTCCTACCTCTTTATGTGTAACATGAAAGGATTCTCAAAACGTTAGGCACACTCCAAACTCAGGTTACCCAACACCGCAGTCCCAGTTTTCATAACCACTAGCGCTGCATAATGGATTCTCTGAACACATACTAGTAACAGCCAGGAACTGCAAAGAACTTGATTTTTTAAGTGCCTTGGCTTCTAAATACCCCTTCTTGTTTACTTTTTTTTGCTTTCGCGTATTTGCTGACTGAGCAGCTTCGACAGCCCGTTTCTGTTATCATCAACGAAGCTAAGAAGAACCGCGTAATAATTTAACCCTTTGCAGAGAGACGCAACAAAATAGTTCATTTTAAAGGCGATGGAAATATAGTGATATACATTAAGGCTTCACGAGTGTTGCTTGTGCAGTTCAAATACTATTGCTTGAGCAGTTTTATCCTATGTATAAGATGAATGCATATAAATCTAAGAATGAGAATATTATAAAATATAAAACCGTCTGTTAAATGAATAGGCTAGACTGGGCATTAAATTTTCCCTTTTCGTTTGAAAAACATTTTACTGTTCATTTCAAGCCAGGCTGTTACTATTGCAGATGTCTGTAAATGGTTGCTTTTAACACAACTACAGTGAAAAACAACATGCAACCGAAAGGAGCAACAATATTTCAAAAAGGCATCTTTTACCTCCAAGTTTCCTAAAATGTAAATGACAAACCAAAGTACAATGTAGGCCACCTACTTTCTGGATATAAGGGTAAAAGACTGTATGGAAATGGCGATTTTCTCCATAAATAACCAGGTAGATCACAAACGTGGTTTGTTAGCTGAGCACTCAAGACTTTTATGATTTCCTACTGGCATCAGCTGGAAGAGCACGTTACACAGGAAGAAAACACAGCTGTGACTCCTGGCTTCCGTAACTAAGAGGCAGGTACTGCTACCAACGTGCCAGACCTACATCATTTTGTTTCTGATCTAAAAACATCTGCAGCAGAAAATGCACGTTGGCCAGAAATCTTAAGATAACATCTCTACTGAAAACCTAAAAGCTGCACGTTTCCGACTTTCATTAGCTTGCAATGTGTAATATTTTGAACACCATGATTGAAGACTTAATATCCATTTTAAATATACGAGGATTTACCATGATTTTTATTGACACGTCTTCTATGACAAACTCCCAAATTACAAGAAAGTGCAAAACACAGTTTGTACAGGCTACGTTTTGCCCTGAAAAACAAAACTCTTCATTGCCTTTTCTTGTAGGGCTAAAACATTGTATCAAGCGTGCAAGCGCTAAAGTAACTACTGCATAACCCACTGAAAGGCTTACCTTCTCTTTTTGCTGGATTAGTCCTTATCTCATCTGGTTTTTGAAAGCTGATGCTTGCATATGCACTTAAATCATCACCAGAGGTACTTCCACAAGGCTGATTTGAGGATTTAGGCTGGAGGGAGGTCCACTCTTGGTTGTTAAAATCCTTGACTAAGTCCAGATCAATGTAATTGAGACCATTCTCAAATGGAGTCGCACTGTTCAGTGAACTGACACCAGGCTGCTGCTCCTCTCTTAAACAGACATACGATTCCCCCTGCTTAAGCCAGACATTTTCAAACGATGCCGAGCTGTGTCTTTTAACATCATCCCCGCAGAGTAACGCCACACCACCACTAGCAGCAGGTGTGGAGGAAAAGGTCTCTGAACTGTGCCGCCTCCTTCCCTGGGGATCAGCACGGATCACTTTGGCACCTTGAATCCTGTTGGGGCTCGAGTTGACTCTGGTAAAAGCGCTTGTCCCCGACATCTGGCTCATTAAACTGGAGCACGCGGCACTGGAGACGCTACTCAATGGGGGCATTTCTGGGTGAGGTGAGAGGGACTGGGTCGGTGTCTTAGCAGCTCCAGTCCCCATTTCGGTGTAGCTCAACATGGGTGCTTCGGCGCACCCTGCGCTGGGGGCGCTCAGCTGCATGCTCACGTAGTCGCAGCTCTGCTGTCCTCTGCTTGCTCTGCATGCAGCAGCAGCGGGGACAGCTGCAGCAGCAGCAGCGGTAACTGCATAGTCTGCAGCACAGCCTGTAGAGTCCGCTGTGGGTTTCGATGGGTAGCTTGGCTTGCTACCATGAGCACCAAGGTCCATGTTCATATACTCCGAGGAATTCTGCTCCGGCCTCGCGGGGGAACTCCCTGCACACACGGGGGAGAACAAGGAAGCCAGGCTTGCCGAGAAGGACTTGTCATTGAACTCTATGTTGACGTACTCTCCCGGGCTCTTGGGCTCCGGTGGGAAGGGGTGCTCGCGCGTGCGGGGGAGCGTGCTGGCCTTGTTGTTGTTGTCCAGGGAGAGGCGGGTCGGCCGCGCCAGCCTCCCCTTGGCCTGCGCGTACTCATCCGCTTTCTTGGGCTTGACCGCCTGCTGCCCGTTCTCCTGCCCCCCCAGGCTGTCGCTGCTCGTCGACGAGGACGAGTCCTCGCCGTAGACGAGGCGGCCCGAGCTCACGGAGATGCGCAGCTGGCTCTCGGCGGCTTTCCTGTGCGCGTGCTTAAACGAGCGAGGTAAAGAGAAGTAGGAATAGAGGGGCTTGGGCGGCTCCTCGACTGGGTTGAAGTAGCAGTCCGGGGGAGTGCTGGTCGTTGAGCCGCTTGCTGGGGACATATTAATGTAGTCGCCGCATGAAACTTTGCCTTCGTTGCTCTCCACTGAAAGCTTGGGATTTGCTCCATTGGTCCATATTTTGCCATAGTTTGTGTTGTCTGGAGAGCAGCTGCCACTGGGGGACATCATCATGTAGCCATTCGAGTCCACTCTTGGATGCTGCCTTGGGTTAATTATTTGCTGTGGCGCAGACACACTTTTAGGGCTCATTGGCATGTAGTCATCAGTTTTAGCAGGCACAGGAGCTACCCCCGGGGACATGGGCATGTAGCCATCATCTGTGTGGTTCGTTCTGCTGCCCTCAATATGGAGATCCAAGCACTCCTCTGGGTAAGAGTGAGTTGGCACAAAGGCTGAATGCCTATACAGTCGACACTGGTACGTTGGCATCATCTCCGTGTATTCTTCCAAGGAAGCTGTGGATGACTGGGAAGGAGTCTTCTGATGGGATATAGTTGGGGATGAAGTTCCAGAAGAATGGGTCCGCTTCCTGAATCCCTTTTCCAGTTCGGCCTCTTCCACCTTCGATGGGGTGCATCGCTGGTGACTTCTATTATGATGTCCATTGGGCAAGAGGTTGGGTTTCACCATGCTGATGTAATTATTCAGCTCCTCTTCCCTTGCAGGGGGGGTGTGCCCGAGAGAGTCAGGGGTGACGCTCCTGAAAGAATTCCTGAAGTCGCAGGGGCTGGACCCGTACTCATCCGAGGAGATGAAGCCGCCGTCGCTCGGAGAGCCCGAGACGGAGGCGCTGGAGCGCCGGGGGTAAAGGCAGTCAGAGGTGGAGCCGTGGCCGCTTGTGCTGCTCGAGGACAAGCTGACCGGGCTGGTGGCTGATGGCGAACAGCGCGAGGAGGGCATGGGAATAGATCTGCTGTGGTTTAAGGGCGGGTGAAGTCTGGAGCTGCCCCTGTGCCTGTGAGAATGTGTTCTAGTGGTACTGGGACTAACAGGGCTCCCATCAACCGACGCAGGCCTGGACATGGTTCCCTCTCCGTCGCTGGACGCTCTCACTCTGAAAGAGTTACCGTGTTTCCCTGGACCTGCAGGTGAAGTTGCAGTAATGCTTTCAGTCCTCGACCTCCTGCTGAGTCCCACTTGGCTAGGAGGAGGGTTGTTGTGATGGTGCCTTCTCAGGGGCACAGAGATAGGGTTGGAGCAGTTGGAGGAAGATTGACTTTTACTCCTGGGGCGAAATTCCTCGCTCATTGCTTTCATCGCTTCCAAAATGGTTTCATGCATATTCTGCGCTACAACCGAATCGTCCACCTGCATCCAGAACTCCCCGGGTCCCGTAACTGCAGATCTACCAACCTCGATGAAGAAGAAATTTTCAGAGTGTCCACATCTCCTTATGTTCATCAACTGCAAAACTACGGCGGCTGCGTCGGAGTTCAGTTTCACAAAGCTGATAGTTTTATTAGTCAGGCACAATCTGTAAATCCCAATTAAATTCTTCGTTTGCCCGAGGCCTTTTGGTTTTAAAATAACTTGCCAGACTTCTTTAAAAGCTGGTCCTGGCCTGGACTCTCCGTAGGTGTCTTCCCCAAATCCGCTGCCCCCGGCAGAATCGTGAATCTTACCTCTGTTGTGTAGCTCTACTAATGCTTGGTACCACAAATCCTGCTCCGGCTCACTATCGGCCGCAATTGCAAAATACTCGTCCTTAGTATATAAAGCCACTAGGTACTTATTTTTGGAGTCCGCTCTCTTGTTAATGTTGAAGCAGCTTTCCAACGCAATAGACCTTTTGGGAGCTCCGGACTTGTGTCTCCATTTTTTCTCATTTTCGTAGTACTCCAGCCTCGCGGGTCCTGAAACGCTCGCAGTCCGCAAAACAAAAAATCTCTTATGCATGCTTTTGGGTTTCCTCAAGTAACCCACCTTCTTCACGTCCGAAAAACAATCGTGGTCTGTAGTCGGGCTTGCCATATTGGAAAAACAGTTGATTTTTTAAAAAAAAAAGAAAGCAAACGATTAGATTTTAATTCCCGACATATGCATGGGGGAAAATGACGGGAAAAAAATTAATACTTAAAGCGAAACAAGCGCCTTTCTTAAAGTATTAAGAAAAACAATCAACAGCGCTCTGCCAAAATAAGCGCTAGACTATGTCGAGACCTCCTTCAATCCAGTTTCTTCAGCAGCGTTTTTACATCCTTAAAGCAGTTTTAAAAGAAAAACAAAAACAGTACACAAATTGCATTCCTTCAGATCAAAGTGAAGGTCAGTAAGGAGAAAAAAATATTAAATACATTTAATTTCTTCTTACTTCAGTCAGGAGTTCCAAATGCACTATCAAAACAAGCACACTTCTCGTACGACCCCATTTAGATACTCCAGTCAATACCGCTGTTAATGTAAAATTGCAAATAAAAAAAAACAATAAAATAAAATAGATATATTCTACTTAAAAAAAACAGCCAGTCCAAAATTAGAATTTCTGCAGAATATGATGCTTGTGCAGTCCGTATGGTCTTTTTTCCCTTATCTGCTCAGTTTCTTAAATACAGTACCAAAACAAGCCGCCGTGTCTGTGTTTGTGTGAGTACAACCCCCTCCAGTCGATTCAATCTCGCTCTAAAGGAGAAGAACACGTGACGACTCGATGCGTGGACAGTTCAAACAGGGGATACAACCTACCTTGCCACAACACTCCCGGCCGACCCGCCCCTGGATAATGATTGGCTCGGGACTTGGCAGGAACCCCCAATTATCACAGCGCCCTGCCAGAGCTTTGTTTGGGTCCCTCTGGCGCTCTGATTGGGTCGCCCCAACGTCAATCATTTGGAACCCCCCAAAAAGGAATCCTCTTTGGAAGTTAGGTGGAGTCGAAGTATAGTAAAAGGCGTAGATGCCATTCACCTACGCCAGTGCGTTATTTATAAACCAGTGGTTGTAAATCTCTGCAGTTTTTACATTTAAGGGGTGTGGCCTCTCAGCACAGATACTTAACTGACGGTGATTAGGCTTTCCCTTATATAATCTGTTATAATTAACTCTATCTGCATGTTCTGGTTTTACTGCTATAATCTAGACGTGTCGTCTGATAAAAACCTCCCTGTCAGTATTAGGAAAATGTTTTTCATTAGGGTTTCACATTGTAGTATATTTGTAGCAAAATATGGTAATGCCTCGTGTTTCGCGGTTTAAAAAACATTAAAACAATTATTAGACTAAAAAAAAAACTATTTTTCAAAGTGGTGCTGTTTCTCGCTGCCCAATACCGAGTATTGTCACAGGGACTCCAGCCAACTGCGGACTCCTGCGGAATCCCAAAATTTCATTTTCATTAATGTTTGTCTTCCTTTGCCAGAAACGTTTCGGTGTGTTGTACGTCCGATTTTTACAGGCGGTTGGTTTCTTTGTAATTTGCACAATTCTGGTGTCGTATTTTAAACGTTTTGATCGTTTTCAAAGCAGATGTATACATTTTCCGAACTGCACGATTCAATCTGTCACCTAGAGCAGTAGTGTCGTGTCAGGTATGAATTTCAACTTGAGGTACATCGCATTCCCTGCGGCGTACGTTCTCTCTGCTCTCTCCTCGTTTCAATAATCAACTGCAAAACGCTTTTGTAGTTCAGATATGAACAACTAAATATTTACCGAAGAAACTTGCTGTTTTTAATTGAACCATGGAAGTAGGACAAGCAATTGAAAACGGTTTTCTTACTCAAGGCTGCCGCCTACTGATGTTATTCATTTAGTCCCAACGACAAACGAACTTTTAAAATAAGAGTAACGTTTGGATTTTACGTTTACCATGTGATATGTTTACCTCAATTTGAAATCGCGTATCTATTTTATTTTTTAGTGTTTGAAAGTATGCTTAGGGATATGTTACAGTCTAAAATTGTATATTCAATACACAATTGATACTGTGTATTTTCGATTTTAAAAATTGTTTTAAAGCACTTGTCTTTAGCATTTGCTTATTAATCTATTAAAATATACATAGTTCTATGAGTGACCTACTGTATATTCTGGTATAGTAAGTAAATGTGTCAGATATGAAATATATATATACATATAAAAAGACTGCAATAAATAGGACTGCAGACACCTGGTAAATGAAACTTAAAGTGAATAACTGTCAGGTGTTACATAGCAAGAACATTACATTCCAATAATAAATGACTGGTACTGAATGAAGAAAAAAATAAAATGAGCAAATTTAAACGTTAATTGCTCCTTAAAATAAAATACTGCATACAAATATTGGGTTCAAATGGACAACAGTAGCACACCCTTTTAACGTGACAAAATGTAGTTCTTATTAAAATTAATGAAATTTCATTGAATTAGTTACCCACACTCAGTTCACTGTTTTTGCTGATCAGTATGCAACATGTAATAAGGCATTTAAACAGTGTGTAGGGGTACCCAGAGAATCAAAAGGCTACCTAAACAAAGACAACTAACAGAAATCACACTGAGAATATAGAGACTCTAATCAAATTTAAAATTGGTGGGAAGGCCACTGCCCTTTTAACGCTGTCAAAGAGAACATGACTTCTAATCTCTCACTGATGTCTGCTCGTTTGGGGTCTAAGAGACCATGACAGCTGCACACAGAGAAAGACACGCTGCCAAAGATGACAGAATAGAGTGTTACTCGGGGACAGGGAGGGCGTGATGGAGCAGCTTGAAAAAGCCTTCTCCCAGTGACTTGGCTAGGTCTGAGTGTGATTCATTATCAGAGTACGGTGCCGGGCTGCCCCGACCTGCTTGGACAGTAGAGGGCAAGTATCCAGGTACCCCAGTGACAGCACGCTGGAAGAGGACTAACCGATTCATATTGATTTTTTTTTAAATGAGGGCTGGTGATTAAAGTGTTGGATGGCATGTGGTTGTTGTGTAGCAAAGAAAAGAAAGGCGCAGCATAAAGGGTTTTATGATTTTCAGCAGTCTGCGGGACACATCAGATGCTGGGACTTGCATTGCTGGTGGACAAGAGACCATCAGATGCCAAAACACTGTAAATGCAGCATCTTGTTGGCACAGGATGTGATAATATCAGAAGCAGCCGACCATATGGCTTCCTGCAAAGCTTATCTGGGCTAATCTGGTCCAGTTCAAGTTAATAAGTATAGCATTCACCAAGAGGCTGTGAATGAAATGAAACCAGCATTTTTGCTCTCTGTCATGAACATCTATGTGTAGCTTGTAATATAGCAGCCCTCCATCCTGTGCTCATTTCTAGAAGAAAATTAATTTACTGTTAAGGCTGACAGAGGATGTTGTTCAACAGTATGTTATCCTTGTGTTCGAATCACAGTTCTGCAGTTTTTTTTTCCCCACAGCCCAAAGACATACTGGTAGGGTAACTGGCTTCTGAGATATTTTGCCCTGGTTTGAGAGTTTGTGTGTTTGTGAGTTTGTGCCTGTGTGTTCGCTGCTCCCCTGGAGCCCTGAATCAGCAGTAAAAAAAAAGAATGGATGTATATTTGCAGGTAACTGTGTTTTGTTTCTTAAAGTCAAAGATAAATCAATCAAAGCAAGAGTTCAGTAAAGTCCAGGATGTGTTCTGTATTACTGTTTGTCAGGACTGACATAGACCACAACATTTCAAATGATATTCAGATCATTTTTTTCTTTTTTGCAAACTGTGGCCACTTCATAGTAAATTTATAGGGTAAGATTATTGTTACATCATTATTTAATTGTAACATTTTAAGAATTTGTGAGTATATTGTACATGAAGTACCCTCAGTTTGTTTGATGGGATTCATGCCAAAATTGTAAATAGCTCATCATAGATCTTAGCTCATGAGCAGTGAACTACTTCATAAACCTAACAGGTGATGAACACAATTCTGAGGATGTTACATTTTAAACAGAAAGCCCAGTGTTGTGCAATGTCTACAGGTACATCAACAACACTTTGAATTTATCATTTACATCCAATCTAATGTACAAGCCACTTTCACAAAATTGTCTCCTAAAACATAATAAAACAAACAATACTTATGATGTTATTACAAATGAAAACAGAATCTTGTTCTGCTTTTCTTGACCATTTGTGTGCCCACCAATAACAATTGTTTGGATTTATATAAAACGTTACGGCATATGGCTAATACAAAATATTTAAAAATATATTTATTGGAACTAAATTTAATTTATAATGAAAAAAACACCTGTGTTTAGAACTTTATGAAGTACATTAATCATGCATTTAAAAAAACATTTGAAATGGAATTCCTTATGATTTATTGATTTTGATTTATTTTAATTTCAAGATATTTTTAGTAGTTGCAATAAGAGGTTTTATGTATTCCACACATTAATGTCTATATTGTGCATTTGTAGGGGAAATCTCCTTTAATCAAATGATACTACATGTGTCAAATCCAAGATTATGTAAGCTAGGGACAATATCCATCCATACAATAATATTTGCTGTTTCAGCGCAGTTAGGATCTCTAATGTCATTTCTTATGTATTTATTCTCACTGAAAATAGCTACATTTAAAATCAATATTAAAGATTGATAACCTTTATTGATATTTGATTGACTCTTAAAGTACACATTAATTGAAATTTGACTTGTGTCTGTGGAGCAATATGGTACAATAGTGTTAAAATAATGTTGAGGAGAAAGATACAATGTTTGACTCTGATACAGAACGACACTGGACTGAAAGCTAGAATACTGAAATTATCTGGTCTGTTTAATTGAACAAGTCAGTACAGCTATCAGTACATCCCAAATTTCCATGTCTACATATAACTTGTTTTGTTTTTGCATGTTTATAAACACATCAGTAAAAAGAATTGTCTTTTTAGAAAGGAAACTAGGGAAAACTACAGCAGAGCTAATGCTTAGCAAACCAGACTCAGAAATGATTTTATCAGTGACTTTACCAAACATAGCAAGAACTGTCACAAATATTCACATCAGCTGCAGATCCTGAGGGGCAGTAGAAACTCCAAATGTCTTTCTTTCTTCTGGAGCACTAATTAAAAAGAGGCTGTGCCTTTGCAGTACAGATATTTAATAGATTATGGTGTTCTTTATCGGGTGTACGCTTAATTTACGTAATAAGCAATAATTTTTGGTCCGCTATAATTTACTTAAAACCGTGTTATACTTATTTCAATAAAAAGTATAGCATTCCATTTTATCCATATCTAAAATGTGAAGATAATATATTCCTGCATTACTAAGCATTGTTTAAAATGCAAAAAAAAAAACAGTTTTAAAATGAAAAAGATGTCACATTTGAAATGAATATTTAACTTCGGAGCATCAAGTATTACTTTGATGCAAGTACTGCTTTGAAGCTGCAAGTCTGCATTTTTCCTACGTGATTAAAGAAAGAAAATTGTCTTAAAACTGAAATGCTGACAAGTATGCCAATCCAAGATACTGTGCCTTGCAAAAGTATTCAGACTTTTCCTATTACAATTACAATTTGTTTTGTATGAGCATTTTTAATCAGTACCTGGATGATCAAATTGAAAACATGTAAGATAAGGTGAGATAAGTTATGGTAAATGTCAGCAAAATCTAAGGAGAAAAAAGTGAAATATATCGATTGTATAAGTATTCAGAACTGTGACCTCAATACTTAGCAAAAGCACCTTTGGCTGCAATTACAGCTGCAAATCTTTTGGGGTTTCCATGTTTCACACCACTTTAGTACAATTTTTGTCCATTCATCCTGGCAGATTTGCTCAAACTCTCTCAACTTGCTTGGACTGATGGAAAGTGGGTTTCAAGTCAGGACTTTGAGCCAGTCAAGCACATTAAATTTCTTACTCTTACAATAAATCACAGCAGTGTAGCTTTGACCTTGTGATTTAGATAATTGTCCTGTTCTAAGAGATGATTTATTGTCCCAGTTTTAGTTCTGAAGCAGGTTTTCCTCTACTATTTGCCAGTATTTTGCTCTATCTATGTTCCCATGAGTCTTGATGAGCTTCTCAGTCCCTGCAGATGAGAAACTTGTCAAGAGAAGCTTGACAGTAGGGATATTGTTGACTGAGTGATGCACTATGTTGGATTTGTGTAAGATGTAAATTTTGCATTTAAACCAAAAAGTTCCAAGTTTGTTGTCTGACCACAAAACCACGTTTGCCAAGTTTTTACGATCACTTGGGTATTTTGTTGCAAACTCCTCCTGGAATCTGAGATGCTTTTTTCATTTCTAATACAAGCCACCTTTGTGGAATGACTGGGATATTGTTGTCCCACTGACACTTTATCCTATCTGATCCATTGAATTCTATAAGTCTTTCAAAATGAGCGTTGGCCTCACTGCTCAGTTTGAAGGGACAGCCTGATCTAGGCAGGGTCTGGGTGACTTCCACATCTTAATGATCAACTTCCCAATGATCAGAAAAATATTACGGGCCTTTAAAATGTTTTTATCACTGGTTTTATCTTAACGTTAAACTCATAAAGATGTATGAGTTACCTCACATAACTATCTCATACCTCACTTACCTCATACAACGTTTTTTAAAAAAAAGCTCCATGATCTTCATGGTTGAGTCTTTTCTTGAAATTTACTACCAGACCAATGAACCCGACAGACAGTCATCCATCCCTCCAGTTTCTAACAGCTTCATTTAATACAGGGCTGTGGGGCAGTTGGAGCCTTTCTCAGCAAGAAATGGGGGCAAAGCAGAGCTTCACAGAGTGCACAATGACACAGACATTCACACAATCAGGCTAGAGCCAAGTTTCCCAGAAGTCAATTAACCTAGCAGTATGTCTTTGGACTGTGGGAGGAACCCAACAAAAACACAGAAGAACATACAAACTCCAAACAGACAGCACCCCAAGTCTAGAATTGAACCCATGGCCCCAGCACTGTGAGGGAGCAAGCTAACCACTATGACACCATGCCACCCAGGTGTTTTCTTCTGAAAGGAGAGTGCAGGAGAGTTAGAATTAAACCAAACAGAGAACACATACTGTAGTACTAGAAATAAAATCTAAACTTTAGCAGAACTCAGCCTCCTGCAGGCTTTTCACACCCTAGCATGGAAAATCCAGTATATGATGCCTCCTGAAGATCTGATGCTGCCTGAGAACATAAAGAAATGAAAGTTATTAACTTGCAGGGTGAGTTGTGTGTGTCAGACTGAAAGGTCTCATTTTGAACAGTAAATTCAATAATGTTATGCTGAGTTGCAGTCTACCAAAGCCTGTGACTAAGGGTCAGCACTTCTGGCACCTGATTTAAAGTCTGCAGTTACCCTTTCCTTGACCTGGTCCCCAGAGAACCGTATAGGTCAGTCATTCAGAGGATGTGCTGCAATTGATGCAATGACAGATGCAATGTATGGCTGAGCATGCTTGGAAGACACAGCCTAGCTGTACCCCAAACCCTGTGCTCTTAATACTGTGGTGTACCATTGAAACTGTGAATTTAATTAATTGTGCATTTTTGATTTGTATATTACAGCATTTCAAGATGGATATCACTTTGGACCAGTCCACATGTTCCTTCAAAGGGAACTCGACAATATTCCATTGAGTCATGCTGCTAGATTGGTTTTATATCACAATTTTACAAATAAAGCTTAAATGATTTCTGATTTTACAAAATTAAGTGTAATTTACGATTTTTATTTACTTTCACATTCGCTGCAAATGATAAGAATGTTATTTTCCTCCTCGTTTTAAAAAACATTTTAGGAACCATTTTCTATCAAGTGGCATGCCATTTTTTACAATTTAGGGGCCTACATGAAATATTCTACATTTTCAGTGTAAAAGGTTATGTGGACCTCTTTGGTTATTAACGTTGATCGTTTATATGATTTTTCTTAATTTCACACGTGTTTTAATGGGTATTTGACCGTAATCTGCAGAAATGGCACATCTCTTGTTTTCATTTCATATAAGAAAAAAATCTAATACAGTATTAATACGAAACTAAATCACAGTGGTAACTCTTTTGAAGACCTATTGCACATATTTTATTGCCTTTTGCTTTCATGTCAATATTTTTGTAATATTGTTTCATCGTCGTTGTTGCTTAAACTGTAACCCACTGAAGTCTTTCCAGACAGCGTTTTTCTTAATTACTAAAGCGTCAGTTTCATGGGAAGCACCCTGTCTCCTGCTACAGTAACTTCATGGAAAATAGCTGCCGAGTCTCACACACAGAAGCCGTAACAGAGCTCAAACCTCATGCAGTCGAGCAGCCCTGCTTACGCTACACGTCAGTTTCTGTTTCGTTTTCATACGTGGAAATGACGAAACTCTGTGAAATATACGCTTTAAAATGTCGCACATAAAAACGCAGGTTAGTTTTTTGGCAGCTTAATAGCACAAACTCGTCGAACACCCTCAGGACGTATTAAAGCGATTATTACAGCCTTACATTTCGAAAAGGTACTTCCGTAAGAAGTCTGGGACGTTGGGACAGAGACAGGAAATCAGCGTGTACATTTTATAACAAGTTTACATGTACATTCGTACATCTTATCTAATATAACAGCTAACGAGATGAAAACATACATCGTTTATTTATTTCTGTATTTTTTTTAGATTACCTGGGGCACAAACAAAAACTTCTGCAGCCTTATCAACAGTCAAGGCTACTGAAGTTCATACATGTTTAGCTCAGACAAAGACTGGAAGATTTTACTGCAGTTTCAAGCTTTTCACCTGAATTTTCCTTTCTAGTAGGTAAGTAAAATACTACACCGAGGTGTTCTGTAAAATATATTTATATCGCCACCTTTCATTCAATTCAAAAAGTTTTTTTAGTTAAAATAGGAAAAAATACTAGTTTTACTGTTTAATTTTAAAATGAAGAGCACTGCACTGTCGTTCTAAAGGGAGCAAATCACAGTAGGCTAGTAAAAAAAACACTAGTTAAACTGCAAATACGCAGCAATTTCGTACGTCTGACGCAGTTAAAAGACGTATTGAAGCGTGCGACGGCAGTAAAGTATGACTGGGTCTCCGTTTACACGCTTCCTGTTCAGTCGATTGGTGTGTTTACTGTGTAAATTAGCTTTTAAGACAGGCTGCTTCCACATTTTTAAAATGTAAATTAGATTCCTAGAATCGAGGTGTCTTGATAACTTATCAACAACTAACAGCAGGCTAATAACGTAACATTAAAAATACCCTTGATTTGAAAATAACTCACTGGCCATTTTGTTACCACATCTGAATTCGATTTAAAACAGACTATGTTATGAAGTGATCTAGAATTGCTTGGGTATCGTCCCCTTTTCTAAATTATTGTTGTTAAATAGTACAGCAAGATTTTTATTTAAAAGGGTACTGTACAGTTCCACAGTCTAAAGGTAATGTGGTTAGGGTGTGGTTGGTGTTCTCACCCGGCGACACCTTTCTACAGATAATCCAGGTGATTTTATTATTCAGTGTGCCTATTTGCATGATGGCTGTGAATGCACATTACCTGTCGTCCTGGGTAAAAGTTACAAATGAGAAGATGATGCCAGTCGTCTTATCCTGGTAGTTTGTTTTTTGCTCTGTGGATCAAGCTGTGGGGCAGCATGGTGGTGCAGTGGTGAGCATTGCTACCTCACATCACTGGGGCCCAAGGTTAAATTCCTGGGGTGCTACCTGCGTGTACAGTACGTTCTCCTTGTGTTTGTGTGGATTTCCTTCAGGTTCTCTGGTTTCCACCCATGGTCCAAAGGAATATGGGTAGATTCATTGGTTTCTGGGAAACCTGACCCCGGTGTACGTTTGTGTGTGTCTGTGTCTGTGTGTTCCCTGAAGTGAATTAGCCACCCATTGCTTGCCAGGGTAGACTGGCTGCCCTGTGATGCTGTATTGGATAAAGCAGTTACAAAATACATAAGTGGATCAAGCTGTTTCTGGAAAGATGTTAGAGGAGAAAATGTATTCCAGGTACCTGCTCTATTCAATTCTACATGAATACAACCTATTTTGATTTGTATGGTTCCTGATTTCACTGTTGGCTGCTATTCCTGTACTAGTGTAGTAGGGCGACTTGAGTGTTGTCCAAAACAGTCTAAAGGGTTGTGTAGTTCGCTCACAATCGCCTCCAGTCAAGCCTAAGGATATCCCAGTCCTTTAATGTATGTCTGATATTCTTTAAGACCAGGGGTTGTCTTATTCGTCGTTATGAGTTCCTTAGAAATTCTGTTATTAGGCTGTATACTGGTATATCTCTTTCATTCTTCCAGTTTTATTTGAAGAAACCAAATCTAAAGCCACTGGGCTAATCGCTTAGAATTTCATCTACTAAAAGTTAATTAAAATACACATTGAAGCAAGAGGTAAAGAGACACAATAATTGCAATATGAGTAATTCTCTTGTACTCCTTTTAGGGGCTAAGGTCACCTTGAAGAATGCATTATTAACATCATGAATTCCTCAAGTTGTCTCAAGATTGATGGCCTTTTGCCTATGTTTTACATCTGCATAAGTAATTTAACAGGATGTGGTACATGAAAATTAATTGCTTGTTTAAATACACTATGGTCTTGTCCTTTGTGGTTATCCAGGTAATTAGACATCTCGAAGCTTATTGCTTCTGACAGTTGTATGACCCAGCCTTGTGAGTTCAAAGGATCAGAGGCATGTACTCTGAATTTAAATGAGCAATTGGTACAAATTAATTTCTTCAGTGGGCTCTTTAACATATATGTACAGTGTAAAATATAGTGTTCCATGGTCCTGATATGTGCCGAGAAATATGCTCTTTCAGTGACTTTGAACTGCACCAGACTTGAAAACCAAAATTTTACCCATGCTAGAATGATTTTCTGGACTCGGTACTCTTCACATTTGGCTTGCTACTAATGAGAATTATTACCGCTTCCCTATGAGTTGCACGAAATAAATGAAATACATTCTTGCTGTGACTCCTGACTGAAGCAGGGACTCCTGGCAAGAGGTAGTATGTCTCTCTTCAAGGTGGGTGAAGAATGTATTATGAGTACCGCAACTAACTCTCAGGGGCTTCAAAGTAATGGGAATGCGATCAGTTTTTCTATGGTTATAGTAACATCATATAATAACAAAGCTGGTGCAGGGCGCAACCTGCAGTCTGCCTAAAATGGTTAATCCTTGTGCCTCTGATGTTACTTGTTTGAGTCTGGGCCATAACATTAAGCAAATTTGACCGGCATGCCTGAGAATATTTGACTAATGTAATGTATGGGATATCCATTCATTATTTTAAAAAAGCTGCCTGTTCTTGGTAAGGGTTGTGGCACCCTGGAGCATTTCCCACCAGCACAGGGTGCAGGGTGGCATGGCAGGCAACCTGGGCAGGGTGCCAGTCTATCACAGGGCACAGACACACACAAGCACAATGGCACAATTGAGAGACACCAGTTGACCCAACAAACGTGTAACTGTGGCACATGACGAGAACCCACATGTGAACGTAGGGGACCATGCAAACTCCACACAGTAGGCCCCCCCCACCAGCTGAAGCCCAGGTATCCTGGGCTGTGAGGCTTTAATGCCCACTTCCACACCTCAGGTACCATCACCTGTGTGGGGAGTTTCTGAAATCTCAATTAATAAAACCAATTACTAAAGAAGAACTCATCATATGTTCATATGTTAAAGGCTTTGACTTTTATTCATATTATTTCAGTGATGCTTCGGAATGACTGTTTTCTCAGTATAACTGTTTAAGGTTATGTTGAAGTCTTGAAGATACTTTAGGCATGCAGGTTTGTTGATAGTATTAATGCTACAATAATTAGTAGTATTATAGTAGTGTAATGCTATAGTAGAATCTAATACTAATATAACATTAATGTGGCACAATTTCTTTGCTTCTCTGCTATAGTAGATCTTTTTAAAGTCTGCCCTTGGATTATACAGACAAGACAGTGCATTTGCAGTGGTAAGCAAGACTATATCTGCTACATAATTGCTATTGACAGGGGCAATCAGAAGATGTCTAAAAAGATCTACATGTGCTTTTATAAGGTATTGAATATCTGTACTATCAAATTGATTTGCTCCAATGGAGAGGACATAGAAATACCATAAATGCTGATACACATTAAATTGATAATAATAAAAAAACAGAAACATGTTCCCAGCCTTGCATTACTTACATTATCCTTAAATCTTTATGTCAATCCATCTGTATCCTAAGACGTTAAAGTAAAGCTTTTACAAGATAGGTAGAATCCGATCTGAAAGGTAACTGTTTCTTTGAAATTAAGTGGAACTGGTCAGTCCTGGAGCAAAAAAAAAATCATTTATAACCGTATAGAAAGATCAAAACATTTTTTTATTGTTTTATTTTATTCAGGGATTATCAAATGGAAAAGCAGAGAATTCACAATTTCAGTCATTTGCTATTATTTCACGCCTTTTCTGAAAGTATAAACTATGTTATAATCAAAAATAAAAGAAGGTGGTAAAATGTTATCCAAAGCCCTAGATGTATTTCACAGTGTCCAAAGACAATTAAATATCAAATGAGTTGAGGTTGACAGGACAGCGAAAGAATAATTGCATGAGCTGTGAAAGCTGCAGAAGTAGGTGCCACCAACAGTGCAAACGAGATGCTTATTATAATTCAGCATGAAGACAGCTACATTCAGTGTTATAGACACCATATTGTCCATCAAAATCCACTAACCCTCCATTTAACGGACTTCGCCTTAAGGCTTTCGGCTCTAACTGACAAACTCTGCTAAGGGGTAATTTTGTCTGTAAAATCAGAAATACCAGACTTTCCCCACAATAATGGCAAAATAGATGTAAAAGGCATGAATATCAATGTTTTCCTATAGGCGAAGGGCAGTAGCTTCCCATGTTTGTTTTTTGGCTGCTTCAGAGAATTGTATACAGTGTATTTCAGAATAAAATAACGAACTTGTATATTTATGATGGAGAAAGGCCCAGGAACAATTTTCATTGTGTTGGTTACAATTGTAAAAAATGATTTTAAAAATCCAGAAAGTATTGTGTTTTTTTGGGCTGAGAAAATGTCATTTGTGATTTAACGGACATTCTGCAATAACGGACCCCCTTCCCTCCTAGTCTGTTAAACTGAGGGTTTACTGTAGTTGTTTAGCCATAAAAAGGAATGACTAAAGGAGTCATTTGTTTAAGCCTTATTTGCAATCTGAAATTGCTTCTTTGGGTGGTGCATTGCTATAATTTCAATGTGTGTTATTGGCTTTCACTCATATCGAAGACATTATTTTTCCTCATGAAATGATTAAACAAGTTGAAACAACTGAAACTGGCAGAGCTTGATCTTTTCACACCATCTTTCTGAATTAACACGTTATACTCAAATGTAAAATTCATTTTGTAAAGAGTTCAGGCTGTTTCATTCATTTTTCAGCAGGTGACGGAGGCTCTCAGATATTTTGTGATGTCTAAACTTAAGCAAACATTTCCATTTTTATTTACGTAACATAAAGACATTTGAGAATGGACCCAGCTGATATCTGTCAGTGGCATCAGAATAAGAAATGGCATGTAAGAGAGTAACATTTTAAACTGATGTTTTGTTTTGTTTTTTTTTTTATTGATGCAGATTGCATTGTCTGTATTGAATCCCTTTTATTTGTTAATAATATTCTAAAAACCACAAGCTGAATGCAGTCTTTCATTTTCCCTTATCATTGGTTGAATCTTTTACAATGATCTTAGTAACTGAATAGCTTCTTCACTGTAGCTGTAGCATAAATGCTCT